AGCAAAACCTACAAATGTAAATTTTAAAAAGGGTGAACAGTGTTAAGAAAATTTAAATGTGAAAATATGAATAGGCCTAAAAAGTTGTGTTTTATGCTAAGAAAGGGAATATTAATCTTATATCAGAAAATATTATATTGTAGATACTGCTTAGATGTCTGCATTAATAAGTAAAAGATTATAATAAAGATCTCTAAATGTAAAAAAACTTATCAGACATAGAACAATCAATACAAATGAGTTTTGATTTATCATTGAAAATATATAAAGGGCTGGAGCAATAGCACAGTGGGGAGGACATTTGCCTTGCACGCGGCCAACCTGGGTTCGATTCTCAACGTTTCATGTGGTCCCCTGAGCACCGCCAGGAGTAATTCCTGAGTGCAGAGCCAGGAGTAACTCCTGTGCATAGCCGAGTATGACCCAAAAAGAAAAAAAAATATATAAAATCTCTTCGCAAGCTACGAGTAAACATCCCTTTTCTTAGTCTAATAAAGGACAACTATACCATTAGTGAGCACCATACTCAATGCCACATGTTGGGATGTTAGTCCTGTCCTTTAAAGAGGCTCTTCTAATGCTTCTTCCAAAACTGGATTCAAAGTTATGAATTTCCTAGGCTGTTGTCTGTTCTTGAAGCTCTTTATGGTTCCTTCAAGTCTGAATGATAATCTTGGAGGATAAAGAATTCTTGATGTGGTGTTCATTTTGTTGAGTTTTTGTACTATATCCCTTCATTTTCTTCTGGCTTGTAGAGTTTTATTTGATATATCTGAAGTGAATCTTTTTGGCTTTCCTTTGTATGTAAGTTCCTGTTTTGATCTTCTGTATTCAATATTGTCTTTATCTTTGGATTTTTTGTTATTTTGAGTGCAGTGTGTCTTGGAGTCTTCCTAGTTGAATCTATTTTCACTGAGCCTTTTGGGCCTCATGGATCTTGGTGCCTGTATTCATCAACTTTGGGAAATTCTTATTGATTTCTTTACCTACTATTTCTTCAACAAATTTGTTTTCCTGTTCTTCAGAGACCCTGATGATTCTTTTATTATTTCTCTTGAACTCATCCCATAGTTCTCTAGTATACTGTTTATTTCTTTTCAAACTATATTACACTTTCTGGGGCTGGAGCGATAGCACAGCGATAGGGTGTTGCCTTGCACGAAGCCAGTCTGGCCGAGCTGGGTTCGATTCCTCTGCCCCTCTCAGAAAGCCCAGCAAGCTACCAAGAGTATCTCGCCTGTGCGGCAAAGCCCAGCAAGCTACCCATGATGTATTCAATATGTCAAACACAGTAACAAGTCTCAAAATGTAGACGCTGCTGGGCCTGCTTGAGCAAATCGATAAACAATAGGAGGACAGTGTTTGTTTTGTTTTGTTTCCACTTTCTGCTGTTTCCTTGTGATTTTCTCACCTTAGAACTCCTTGATCTTTTACTCAGCTTCTGTTATTCTGTTGTTTAGACTTCTATTGAGTATTTTGTTTTTTTGTGGGGATCACACTCAGTGATGCTCAGGACTTCATCCTGGCTCTTCAGTCAGGGATCATACCTGGAATGCTTGGGAGATCATATGGGATCCCAGGGATCCAACTTAGGTTGGCCACATGCAAAACAAAGACCTTATCTATTGTACTGTCATTCCAGTTCCTGTGTGTGTGTCTGTGTGTGTTATATTTCCTACCATGCTCTTGTTTTCTGTCATTTCCGATAGTAGCTTTTTAATTTCAGCTCTTCTTTTTTGTGCTTTGCTGACTACCTGTTCCATCGTTTCTTTGAAATTATTAAACATATTCATCATGTTGTCACTGAACTCATTGTGTGAGGATTTAATTAGATGGTTGGTATTGTTTGTGCCTTTGGTCATATTGTTTTCACTCATTAAACTTGGTAGGCTTCTTGTATTTTTCCCATTGTTTTTCTAGTGTACTTGCTGTGCTGGGAGGTGGGTCTTCATAATTAAACCTCTTGGAAGATGCTGAGGGATTTAAGATGAGGATTTCTCTTCCTTCTCTGCCATTTTCACTGAACTGTGAGCAATGTGTAACTTGCTGAGTAGATTTGTTGCTCCAAGAGCTGTGGTGTGGGCCTGTTAATATGGCACAGGTGGAGTGTGAAGGCTTCTGGGACTTTGCCAGAAAGAAGGGGCTCTGTCGCTTGTTCTGGCATAGACCCAGTGATATCAGCTGAGACTAGCCTTACCTGGAATGATGGAGCAGTACACAGAGGTCCTTATTTATTTTTCTTGTCTTATTACTCTGGCTAGAACTTGCAATCATACATTGAATAGAAGTTGCAAGATCAGAGATTCTTGTCTTATTCCTTATTTTATTATTTATTTTATTTTTGGGGGGCCACACCCAGTGTTCGCAGGACTTACTCTTGGCTCTGCACTTGGGGATTGTTTCTGGCAGCTCTTGTGAGACCACATATTATGCCGGGGATCGAACTGGAGTTGCCTGTGTATAAAGAAAGCACCCACCCAGTTGTACTATTGCTCTATTGCTCTAGCCCCTTGTTTGTGATTTTTGGGGAGAAGCAATACATGAAAAAGTCTTTCACCAGTTAAGCTGTGGATTTTTATTGTGTTTGGTGTGAACACTGCTATAAAGAACACAAGAATGCTAACATCTCTTTGAAATACTTACTCATTTTCTTTGGATTTATGTCCTAAAATGAGATTGCTATATTATATAGTAGTTATAATTTTCTTAGGACCTCCAAAATGTTTTTTGGATTTTTTTTTTGTGTGTGTGTGGGGGGGGCACATCTGGTGGTGCTCAGGCTTACTTCTGGCTGTGCTCAGGGATGACTCTCGGCAGGGCTTAGGGACCATATGAGGTGCTGGGAAGTCAAACCTGGGTGGGCCACATGCGAGGCAAGTTCTTTACAAACTGTACTATATCTCTGAACCCTCTATACCTTTTCCTATAATTTTTAACTATTACATACATGATTCTAGCTACTGTGATAATTGAATATGAATTAAAAATAATTTATTAGTTCATTTAGAATAAAGATTAAGAATGAATTATGGGGCTATAGAGGTAGTAAAGGTGTGAAGGCTCATGCCTTGCATGCAGCCAATTCCTGTTCCATCCCCTGTTCCACAAGTTTTAGAAAGTATCATCAAGTGCCATCCTGGAGGCTCCATAACTTGGGGCATGGGAGGGTGGTGGGGAGAACTGTGTAATCTGGGGTACTAGTTTTAACTTCTGGTGGGCTCAGAATGTTTGTAGGGGACGTGAGATCCTCCCAGAAAAAAAAAGAACAAATCCTGAATATACTAAAAATACTTTAAAATATATTCTTCTAGTTCCACTAACATTCCTCCACAAGATTAATTTCTTTCCATGAGTCCAGAGAAATTTAGACATAAAATTTACTCTGCAAGTACGGCTTTTGTCAATTTAGCCTAATTTATATAAATGGCTAAACAAGAAACATTTACATTTGTTATATTAAAAGCTTAAAATATATACATATTCATAAAAATACATAAATATATTCAAGTTATGCTTACAGAATTTCATATTGTAACTGCAATTGGAGAAGTTACTAGTGCAATAGCTTTAAATAAACGTTGGCAAAGTTTCTCTGAGCAAAGTGCACTTTTAAAATTTTTTTATCTTTTAATGTATATTTTATTTTCATAATTCACAATAATTCATTACAGATAATATTCAAATACCAATCCCACCAAGCACCTTCCCACCACAATAAGAGGGAAGTGTGTGAAGATTGTTGTATTTCATTCTGGAGCCATTTAAGCGCGAATATAAGGGTATACAAGCAAGTATGTTAAAACCACCGTCACTGCCTATCCTCCCATTGTTCATTGATTTGCTCCAGCGGGCCCAGTAATGTCTCCATTTTTTTTGAGACTTGTTGTTACTGTGTTTGGCATATTGAATATGTCATGGGTAGCTTGCCAGGCTTTGCCACAAGATGGTAAACTATGACTGGGCAGGGCGAAGCCAGAGGAAACTTTGATGGAGGTCCATAGCGGTCCTGACATGCAAATGGGTTGTCGCACCTGGGTATAGGGCGAAAGACTAAACGATCCATCTAGTAGCTGGTTCCCTCCTAAGTTTCCCTTAGGCTAGCTGGCGCTCTCGCATGACCACCCACGCAGTTTTATCCAGTAAAGTGAATGTTAAAACCAAACAAATCAAAAATTTGTAAGTCTACAACTGTACCTCATGGTGTTTCACTAAAAAAAAAATTTAAAAAAATGTGTGCAAAGTGCACTTTCTTAAATTAGCTGTGCTGATTTTTTTAAATATGAGTTGATGTCTGTTGAATTTCCTATTCTAAAATAAAATTCCACATGAATATCTTTTCTTATACTTCGTTTCATAAATAATTTACTTTCCCTTTATCATCAGTGATGGAAAAATAAAAGTATAATGGGTCCTGGGGCCTGTGCGACAAAGGCACTTGCCAACTCCAGGTTCAAACAACAGTGCTACATTTGATCTCCAGAACACCAAGTAAAAGGTAAAATACGATGCCCATTTACAATTCCTCATGCTTAAACTTATCTAAATTAAAAAAAAAAGTCAGCATCTTCTCAGAGACGCTTTCTCAACCCGCCACGGCCGTTTCAGTCAGCCGCGCCTACCAACTTCTACCACTAGAACTTCTACCAACTTCTACCCGACCGGCCTGCGGGCACATTCGTTGGTCAGATCCGCCGTCCCTTACGGTCCGACGTCCTCACGTTACCGTCCAGTGCCAGTCAGCGCCCCACGCAGCGAGAGGAGAGGAGAAGCAACGCGCAGGCCGGGTCCGCCCGTCTCCTCTCCTGAGAGTCGCGGCGCGTCTGAGGACCGGCGGGATTTGCATTGCGTGATGCACGTGTCGCGACGTGTCGCGCGACCCTGCAGGTCAAGCCCGAGAGACCGATGTCACGTCACTCCGCCAGATCCCTCGGCGCGCAGGCTCCGTGTGAGCTCGCGCACGCGCACGTGCGCGGCACCCCCCAGAGCCTCGGTGCGGCCGGCGGAGACGCGGCGGGCGGCGGCGGGCGGAGGCGACCGGGCCGCTGAGGTACGAGGGGAGGAGCCCGCACAGCCGCCGCCGCCGCCGCCTCTGCCGCTGCCGCCCGCGAAGAGCATGTCTGCAACTCGAGCCAAGAAAGTGAAGATGGCCACCAAATCATGCCCCGAGTGCGACCAACAGGTGGGCGCCGGCGACCGGCTCGCGGGCTGCCCGAGCGGGGCGGCTGCTGGCGGGCGAGCGGCCGTTGCCCGCGGCCGTTGCGTGTGGAGGGAGCGCTCGGCCGGGCTGCGGGCGGCCGAGGGGGTGGGCGGGCTCGGGGGGTTCGGGGCGGGGGGCCGCGGCGGGGGCCCGGAAGCGGCCGGGCTGAGGCGCGGGGTGCCCACCTGGCGGCGGTCAGCCGGGAGGGGGTCGCGGCGGCGGGGCGGGCGGCGCGGGAGGGGGCGTGAGTGGGCGGTGAGGCGGCCGGGTGGCCCGTCCGGGTCGTCCCCGAGGCGCCTGTCCGGCAGCGGGTGACAGCGGCGGGATTCCGGGGGTCAGCCCCCCACTGGGCTGGCACCCCCCCCCCCCCCCCCCCCCGTGGTGTCGAGTGGGGAAACGCCTTCGTGCCTCGACCCTGCAGGGTTGCTTTGTTCCCTTCCTGACGTTTTCAGTGAGAAAGAAACAACAACAACAACAACAAAACGGGAAGGGGGTATGGAGGAGGGGCTGCGGTAATCCCATTTTCCTCTTGGGTTTCAGTAAATTGCGATCTTAATAGAGTTTCTCGTTTCTGCGTTTGACGTTTGCTTTTTGGGTCATACCCAGTGATGCTCAGGGGTTACTCCTGGCGGTGCTCAGGGAACCATATGGGATGCTGGGGATGGAAACCGGGTTGCCTGCGTGCAAGGCAAATGCCCTCCCCACTGTACGATCACCCCAGCCCCCAGGTTTCTAGTTTTTAATAATCATTTATCTAGGGTGTAAAATTTTGAGAGAGGACTGCCTGATTAAAAGTTATTCCTTTCTAGGCCCTGTGTTTTTAAAATGCTGTCTTTTTCTAACCTTGTAAAAGAGGAATTTTCTACTATTACTAGTAGCTGCTTTCTGATCCGTGATCAGTGGGGTCTTCAATGACATTATGACAAACCAGTAGCCTAAAGAGTTCAGGTCAACTTTAAAAGAAATGACAAAAAACTATGACTGTGATCAGAGTTGTGATACCATACAGTATTCCTGGGGGGCTTTTCTCTGCTTCCACCCAACAACTCAGACATAAAGGAAAAAAAATACTAGTGGTTGAATATTTAGAAGTTTCATGTTTTGGCTTTTTTTCTTTCTTTTTTTTTTTTTTGTCCATGGGAGAGATCTTAGGCTCCAGGGTATTGAATATAACCGCACGATTTTTCTGTAGGTCGGAAGCCCAAAGCAAAACCTCACCAAGGTGCTTTCAGGCCAGGTTCCACCTCAAAATTTCAAGCAAACATTTTAATTTTTTTTTCTTTTATAGGGTGACCCAGTTGTTCTCAGGAGTGCTGGGCAGTGATAATTTGTGATAAGAGTCTACAGATATGGTGCTCAGGATTCTCCAGAACCACACCCACACCCAGTGGAGATGTGGAGGTGCTGGAGTATGGGATGGGGTGTGCTACACTTGGGATTGAATGTAGGGTTTTACATCTTCTGCTTTACCACATAGGCCACAGTGTGGCTGCCATTGGTCGTTTTCTAGTTTCTTAAGTTGTGTTGTCAAATTATTTATGTAGGCCCTATTTCTTACTGATTGTGTAAACACAAAAGGGGCAGCTCTATCTCTCTCCCTCATTTGGTAGTCTCACGCCACTTCCCTACCCTGGGGAGGTCGATGGCGCTGGGCAGACGAAGGAAGGTAACGAGGTCCAAGTTGGTTGGTGTCAGTTGCAGTTTTTTCCACTTTCCTCTCCATTCTCCTCTGATTCTTCACCTGCTTCTTCCTCTCCCCATGCTACTTCATTCTCCTCCCTGATCCCTCTTCATTCTCCTTCTGGCTCTGGAATCTGGATCCCCCAGCCCCCTCTTACAGTCTAGTTAAATCCCAAGCATGAGGGGTTGGGGCTTATACATAGGTAGGTCACAATCAATAGGGGTAAAGTTCTTTCCCTCAGGGAGTACTTCTTCTAGGACAGATACCCTCTCAGCAGGATGACCCACCCAAGAGCAGAATCCCATGGGTGTGTTTCTCCTCTTCTTGTCCAAAAAACATATAAGCATTCATCATTTTAATCATTTTGTATGGACACAGTAAGAGATACATTAAGCTTACAGAATTGCTTTCCTGGGGTCATCTCGATCTCAGACTACAGTGCTCAAGCCACATTAGTCTTTCCTATCCCTAGCAGGGTCCTAGTCTTGTTACTTTTGGATCATGACAGCATTTGTCCATATCAAGCTCTTAACTTATAGTTAAGAATTGTGGCACTTTGGCCTAGTCCATTTCGATGCCAGGGTAGCTCACAGCTTGCCCTGGGTCCATTCAGTCCCTTGTTGGGACCCTGCTTTTGGGGTGCTAGGAACTAAGGGAAACTGAGGTTTAAGTTGAGAAAGCAGATGCCCGGGAGTGAATAATATTTGAAGCCAACTAAATCCCAAGTTACAAAAGCATAATATTAACTGTCTTCCTGTATTTATATCTATACAAAAGGGACATTGCTTTAAAGTAAACTATTCATAAGATATAAGGAGAAGAGAAAGGCAGTATTAGCTTATAATACAAGTTCAGTGTCCTAGAAGGATCTGACCTTACAAATTAACAGAGTCTGATTAGGAGGAAAAGCTGATTAACTGGTTGGGGAAGAGAGCATAGAGAAGTGGTTACAGATAAACAAAGGAATGGGAGTGACTTGGGAGCTCTGTGAAAGGTGTAACCTGATAAACCTAAGCTCCTTGTGGCAAGGGAGAAAGGACAAATCAGTTGTTATCCTACACTGATGAATATTTGGATCACTTGATCACTTGACTTCCCGTTACTCATAGATTTGCTCAAGCGGGCACCAGTAATGTCTTCATTTGTCCCTGTCGTGTGCTAGTGTAGCCCAATGGCGTCTTTTCGTTCTAGGAACATGAACAGCATCAAACTGATTGTTCAGGGTCTTAAAGAAAAAGTCTGGCCATCTCATAGGTGGGCAGCCACAGCATCTTTTGACGTCCTGTGGAATCCAGTCATAATGGCTGTAGGCCAAGGGTCGTCTCCAAATCTCATTACGTGTCCAGCCCACCTGTTTTTCGATGTCTTGGCAAACGAGACAGCATCCCTGATTCTTGACCTTCAGCGGAGGTCGGAACTCCAGATTCTCTCATTTGAGTGAAGCGGGTTATTCCAAGCATAGCTCTTTCGATTCCTCTTTGGGAGACTGGAATAGCGTTCTCATCCTGTTTGCGTAGGGCCCAGATCTCTGAGGCGTATTTTAATGCAGGAAGAACAGTGGAATCAAAGAGATGTGCCCAGAGCCAGAGGTTCTTCATCCTCTTTGTCCTCTTAGCTATTTCTTCTATGCTCTTGAAGGCGTTCCAAGCCGCTCTCTTCCTCCTGCGCAACTCAGGTGCCAGGTCATTCGTAATGTTGACTTATTGACCTAGGTACACATAACTGTTGCATTCAGAGATGTTCCTTCTGTTGAGAACAAATGGAAAGTCAGGAATGAAACTGTTTCTCATAAACATTGTTTTCGTGAGATTCAGCTGGAATCCAACCTTTCCACACTCATGGTCAAAGTCGGACAGCATTTGTGCCTCTTGGCTAATGTTTGGTGTTACTAGAACGATGTCATCAGCGAAGTGGAGGTGGTGTAGTTGCCTACTGTCTATCTTCACTCCCATTCCTTTCCATTCTAGTCGTCGCATGATGTTCTCAAGGACGGCACTGAAGAGTTTCAGTGAAATGGTATCATCCTGCCGAACCCTTCTCTTGACGTCAGTGATCACTTCCCTGTAGAATGGTGAGATCCTGGTAGTTAATCCGTAATACAGTTTACGGAGGATCCTGATGTATTGAGTTTGAACACCCTGTTTGGCTAGGGCTTCCATGACTGCTTTGGTCTCAACAGAATCAAAGGCCTTCTTTAAATCAATGAACGTTGTTAGACAGAGCAGCATCTTGAACTCTTGTGAAACCTCAGTGAGCTTGGTTACCATGTGGATATGGTCAGTCATGCTGAATCCTTTGCAGGACCCAGCTTGTTCGCATGGTTGTCCTTCATCTAGTGTTCTGCCAATCCTATTCAGGATGACTCAAGTGAACAGATTGTAGATGACAGACCACAGGCAGATTGGGCGATAGTTGCCAATGTCGTGGATGTATCCCTTCTTGTACAACAGAACAATCCTGCTGGTTTTTGCATTGGGACGGAACCTTGCATTCAGACAGGTAGCGTGTGAAGAACCGAGCCGGAGTATTACTGACAGCAGATTCTTCAGGTGTTCAGGTCTGACCTTGTCTGAGCCTGGTGCATCTTTACCGATGAAATGGCGTGTCGGATTTCAGAAGGGAGAACTTTGGGAATGACATATTCATACTGTGGAATTTGGTATGTGGGCAGGTGGACGGGGCTATCGAAGATATTCGGGTAGAAGTCATGAATATTCTCTATTGCCCTTCAGAAAGATGCGATAGATCCACCAGGAGGTCGGAGCGCAGTCATCTTGGTCTTGTAGTTGGCGAAGGACAGGCAGGCGTTATGAATGCTTTTGCCGGCTTCTGCTGCATCTGCCAGCACTGCTGCTCTTCTCTCTTTGAGGTCTTACTTTATCGCTTCTCTGCACTATTTTGCGAGCTCAGATGTTCGCTTGTGGTTGCCTGAGGCTTGTGCCAAGTCACGTTGGCGAATAAGCTCAAGAGTTTTCAAAGACAGGCGTCTTTATGTGGTTATCTCTCTTGGCGTTCTTCGCACAATCATGGAGGTGCTGAACCAGTTGATCGTATTCTTCTTCAGTGTTATCAACGACCGCATCTTCCCATGTTGCCACAATAGTCCCAAAGAGTTCCCAGTTGGTGGTCGTTCTGTTTTTAAACTTTGTAGCCCCTTCTCCTCGCTTCGTGAAGTAGAATTTTGCACGAAGGAGATGGTGGTCAGATACCGTTTGGAAATTTGGGACAAAAGCAACATTGGTCAGGCAAAACCATCGATTGAATATGATGTGCTCAGTTTCGTTGTGGAACCGTCCGCCAG